TAAAGTTCACATGTTATACTAAATAACCGTCACATATTCATTACCTCAAAAATGGAATATAATAATGTTAAATCTTAACTTTTCTTTGAACTAATTAACATTCACATAAATTACACTCACACAACTATTTATATACTAAAATAAATAAATTATCCACAAGAGAGATTACTTTGGTGACATATTATGTAAATTAAGTTATTTCAATATGTATATGCACATACCAATATTAAAATTAAAACCAAATTTAAATTGAATTAAAAAGAAAACCAACCACAAAATGACCAAAAATATCTTTAATTTTTTTTTGTCAAAAGTTGGATGTTGACCAATCAAAGTTGACCGTTGACCAGGTTGGGACAACACCTACCGAGTCCGGGCTGGGTTGGGTCCAGAACGAGTTGGCCCAGCCCAAATGGACCTAGGTTTTGGGCCAACCGAATGGACTTTTCTTTTTCCTTATTTTCTTCCTTTTCTTCTCTTCTTGTGGACCAAGCCCACATAATTTAATTTTAAAAGATAAACTTAAACAACCCACAAAGTCGGAAACCTTTTCCCTTCTTTTCACTCTCTTTCTTCCTCATGCAGCCTGTAACGGTTGTTTTCTTTTGTTTTACGCACGAAATTTGGCAGTCGTTTCGGCTGCCGAACGGTTACTCTACCGCCGGACTTTCTTCCTCATGCAGTGGAGGTCGACCGCTACTTTTCTTCTTTGTTTTTCTACTTTATATATATATATATACATATATAATACTTAACTTCTTGATATATATATATATATATATATATATTTCTTAATTTTATGCATATAATATATATTTTTCAACTAAAACAAAAATAGAATCTAAAATCCAAAGTTACATAACAAAAAAAAAATTTCTCAAAAATTCAATACGAGAAATGGTTCTGATACCAATTGTTAGAATAAAAATTCTTTTCAAATTCGTAAATCTTAAAAATTAAACATACATTCTCGTACTGAATTAAAGATAAATATAAGCGGAAGCGTACTTGAATCCATCACAGAATATTTATTCGCATCTTGTGTTAGGATCTTTCGAATCAATACGGTGCCTTAAAACTAATTTTTTATGGTGACGGGATTTCAAAAAAATAAAATGACAACCTTATGATTTGGAAACTATAACTACTTTTTATATCGACTAACTTTTACAATTCTCATTTTGCCCATCATAAAATGAGAATATTACAACAAAAATGGTATCTGCACATTACAAACTCATACTTAAACTCGATGCATTAAGCCCCAATGTAATGCCCAAATTTAATTCAATGTAAATTAAATTAAATTATAATTGTAATTTTTTAATTTTTTAATTTTAATTTAGTGTAAAAATAAAAAAAAAATTGATGGATGATGAAATTGAAAACGATTTTGGAGAAAATATGTGAAAATTTGGGTTCTGGGAGTATTTTTAAAAGAAAAATCGAAAAACAGGGGTCAAAATATAATTTAAAAAATTTGTGTCATGTAAGATGCCCAGTCAGCAGTCCCGATAAATCAGAATGCGCCGCGTGGAAACAGACGCTGACGCAATGCCATACGGGAGGCTACGTGGGCAATCCGCGTGCCCGCGATCGAACGGTCCAGATCCATTTCCACACGCACGGACGGCCTAGATGCTTCCCTCCCCAAACGCGATCGGACAACGAGATTTAAATACGATCAACGATCTAGATCTACTTCCTATTTAAATGTGATCTGATTGCCCAAATTAAATTGCGATGGACGGTCCAGATTCACTCCATATTTAATCGCAATCAGACGGTCCAGATCAAACGCGATGGATGACCCAGATAAAATGGGGATGGATATAAAGAACTCTTTTCACATCAAACCCTAACCTTAGCTGCCAGACACCCTCGCCGGAGAAGAAGACCCAGCCGCTGGGAAGGAGAGTTGCCGCCACCCGCCGCCGCGCTGGAGCCACTTCTGACCGCCAAAAGAGGTAAAAATTTCTCCATTTGCTCAAAATTCAATTTTAAACACCTCTATGGCCAAATCAGAGCAAAAAGATCGGCGAATTGACCAAAAATCGTGGGAAAAGCCCAGCGGCGCTGTCGCAGAAAATTTCATAAAACGCCTCCGATGAGGCCCTTCCCAATTCTCGTTCTGCGTAATTTTTTCACCGTTGTGATCATTGTTTCCTTCTTTACAGGTTGATTGGAGCAAAACACCCAACCGTAATATGAGCCAGAGGAGCCGCCGCACCGGAAAGCTCCACCGCCGATGAGTTTCAATTTTTTTATATTTTTCGGCCAATCGAGACCCTTTAACGTGTTTTCTCACAGTGCTTGATGTAAAATTGGTCGAATTCAGCCGAAAATGACCAAAAATAGCTGATCCGAAGTAGACCGTCGCTGCGAGCAAGCGGCGTCGTCGCCGGAGCCGCTGTGCCAGAATTTCAAAATTGGCCAAAAATGAGTCCTGAGACTGATTTTGGATTTTTGGGACATTTGTAGGTATTTATAGCGCGTTTTAATCTCTGAAAAAAAAATTTAGGGAACCTAAGGACCGCCAGTAGGCGTAGTCAACAGCTTAGCTTTTCGGGTATCAAATTGTATAGGAATCCTTCACCCTATTCTCTGTTATATAATTGAAGTCTAAATAAATAATAATACGGTATTTGGTATAATTTAAAAAATATTCATAATTAATTACGGATTACTAATAAAGACAAAACCGAAAATTATCTATTGTTAATTCTGTTGAATTATTTTTCAATTAATTGTATGATAGTATTTCATTGATCGATTTTATAGTTTTGAATGCATATATTGTTTGATTTATGTGATTACCATTGAATTAAAAAATGGAGACTGAAGAAAAACGAGAAATTGTGTGATTAAGTGAATGGATGAAATGGCAGCCTTACTGGATATCTTGGGAGATGGTAGACGGACTGAGTACAATAAGGAACCCTACCATGAACGTTGTCTTATATCGGACGGGGTATTGAGACTTGATAATTTGGTGCTCATGCCAGACGGGGTATGGAAACGACCCGTTTCACCCTTATACTGGATTGGGTATTGAGATTTAGTAATTTAGTGCTCATACCAGACAGGGTATGAGGACGGTCCGTTAATTGAGAATGTTAAAGGAAATGGTTCACACGTAGTTGGGATATCCATATGAACCCCCATGGATACCAGCAGGCTAATGGAAATGCACAGTTATTGTTTAATTTATTGAATATGGATTTATAATGTATGCATGTTACCGATTGCATATGAAATCATGATAAAGGCTATGTTATTGTCTTTCTAAATTATTTTTATAAATTTCGCTGCGGTAAATGGACGGTAAATGGTTTTATTATTAATAAATACATTTTTTTAATTAAGTGCTCCATTAGTTGTTTTGAATTTCTGCCAACTTTCATTTCTATATCGGTGAGTAGCGTCATATTCCTACTGAGGTAGTATAGCTCATCTCTTATTTAACCATTTCAGATCAAGAGGATCAGAATCTAGAGCCTGATCCACAAAGAGGGTTGCGAGTATGATGCTAGTTTTATTTATTTTTTGCTTATTTTCTTATTTTTTTGTATTTCTTTTAAAATAATAATTCCCGTAACACTATTCGGTACTTTAAGTTATTGTGTAAGAAATGTAAACGTTAACCATTCATTTTGCTTTCGCGCTTAATTTATAATTTATTTTCTTTGGACAATTCGGGGCCGTTACACCCAATATTATTTAATCATATTTGATCACTTTTAAACGAACTCATTAAATTGATAGCTTCATACACATACCAAAGTCCACATTAAAACTACACGTTAGCAAAAAAAATCCAACAAGTTTTGTGTATCTAACTGTTCACTTAGAGAATTATTGGTGCATGAAGCTCATAGTGGAGGATTGATTTAAGTTGTCAAGATAATCTCTTGTAACATGTTTTATTAATTTTCTTTCGAAATAATTTCTAACTTATCAAGTTTATACTTGTGGCATTTTTAATTAATTCAAAATTATTCCAATTACCTTAGTTCATGATTCTACATGAATTATTGGGTTAAGTAGAAATGATTTATTGAAACTTTTATGATTTTATTTACTAATGTTATATGTGAGATTTTGATCACGCTAATTGATATTGAATTTTGCATCAATTTGCATCATTATATCATGTGTCTTCTAATGAACAAGTAACAGATGTCTTCACTAAGGACTTTACAATAAACTTTTTCACAACTTAGTTCACTTGGATACGTGTGGTATCTTTGTACCAACTTTAAAAGGAGTGTTGACTAGAATATTTTGTTGCCATATTAATTGAGATATTTTTCCTGCAATCATTCTCATAATCTTTTCTATAATGATGTAATTAATTAGTATAATAAATTAAAATCCCTATAATAATATAAATTTTTTTATTCATATATAAAAATTTTGTGTATATATTATAGATGTAATATCAAAAGTAGTATGAGAAAATGAAGTTTTTTTTTTTTTTCTCTAAATTTTTACAATTTTGCTTGAAGACACTTTGTATTTGTTGTCCCAAATCATTTTTGTTTCTCCATTTGAATTCATAGATCTTATAATCAGGTGGTTAATGTCTTAGTTAGGGAGATGAGCAAAGTACCTGATGGTAATTTGTATTTTCAAGAATTATCTATTGGTTTATTTCCAATTCTTAAGGTAGATGTTTTGCCAGTTTTGAATGAATGAAATATTGTTTTCTTTCCAAATAAAAAATTCTTGTGGCCGACTGTGCTAGAAATTAAAAAATTCAAAAAAAAAAAAAAAAGAATAAAACTCTTATAGGAAGTTATAATCTGAGGCAAGAAAAGCCAAAGGAGAAATGGGAAAGGGAAGATGACGCCAAAAAAAAGTTCAATCTGTTATGAACTTGGTTTAACTGAATTATCATCTCTGCTTTTGCTTCTCTATAATACAGATCTTCACAGAATTACAACAGCAAGTAAATACAATAGGTACATTCTCATCAGGAATAAAACCTACTACCCAAACCGAAACACCAGAGAGAGTGGAAAAGGGAAAAAAAAAACTGAGAAGAAGAATTTTTTTGTCGACACATGATCTGTTACCAGTGGATAGCTTCAAGCTTCCTTGCTGCTTCATTAGCTTTCAAGCTTTTGTTGCTTCCAATGGAACTGCTGTCTTGCTAGCGATAATTTGCTCATAGAGATCTCTGATTTTTAATCCAATTATTGTTTGAAATAGACCTGTTCCATTGTTGCTACCGGGGAAATCTGCATGTTTCAACATTTGTTGAGTGACCTCCCCGTAGAACTTGGTAGAGATATTGCTTAGATGACTTTCAATGTATATCAGCTCATCTAATCTGTCAAATCGTCCATCCATCTCCAGAACCGACACCTAAACACCAGCACAAAAATCAGACAATTAGCCCTTTCGTGACTGCTAACAGCTTATACGGGACAGTCTAAGGCTTGTACAAATTACAAAGTTAGAATGGATTGAATTACCTCGTGGCCAAAGTAAGTTTCAGGGCCATAAAAGAATTTGATGCCAGGGTAAGAGCAGGTAAGCTTTCTTCCACATGGTATCCATGAGATTGTGGAACCTTCATCAAACAAGTAAACAGGGCTGAAATGCTTTACTCCTTCTTTCATTATCAACCTTACTCTTAAAACCTTTCCTTCATTATCGTCCGGAATCAATTGAGTTGGCAACACTTCTATGACAGCATCCGCGTACTGTTTTTGTGGGTCTGCAATCGATGCACGCATACTAATTAGTCAAGTAATCTTTCGGACATTGCATCACAAAATCAATTAGACGGCATTACATTCGAACATTATTAAATCGAATCGAAAAAGTGATAAGTGTAAAGTAATTTATCTGTCACCAACATGTTCAATTTTATTAGATATATCTTCAGGTGTTCAGTTTAAACATCAAGGAATCAATGAATGATTACCCAAGAAAATGACAAAGATGTATAACATTTTATGAACTGAAATTTATATGGGTGGTGAAGGAAGTTTTTACCAATATAAGCATCAAAATCTGGTTTCCGGGCTTCGATACTAGCCTTAATACTCTCTAGACTGTGTCCTCTCTCTGCCATGTCCCTCTGCAGAGATGGTAACAGAGTTAAATTGCAGGAAACAATGAAGGTTCATGGCAAATAATTGAATTTCAGAATGGTGAGAGTACCTGGATTTTCCATGCAAACTTAACCTCATTGCTTATGTCTAGATAGATACTGAAGTCCAAAAGCTCCCTCACACGCTCATCAAACCTAAATATTTGCAATACACTATTTAAGAAATACTCTCCATCACACGAAGATTGGAAAGAAACAACAATAAAGTCTCTAACTTTTTTAAATAATACACAATAACCATACGGTAGGGCCAAACACATTATCCCAGTCTTTTTTATTTTCTTAGATGAATCCATCAGTAGCCAAAATTATGGTTTTTGGCTCTGAAAATACTTAAGTCTACTCAAAAGGGTGCGGTTAGTTAGCAAGAATTTTTGCTAAAAATAGATTTTGATCTGTTATTACTGAGTCAATTAGTAGTTATTCAATCTTGACATATATGAATAAGCTTGTTAGCAAAAAATAAGACTACATTGAACTTTCAAGTTCAATGAACTTTCAAATTCAATAACTCATGAATTCATGAGTGACTTATAATTACTACTTAGAATAATCATAAGAGCATATATGTCAAGAATTTCAATTTGAAAAAGTATGGGGTTTTGGAGATGAACTTACATTGGATGCAAGCCTTCAATGACAAGGATCTTTGGGGGCTTGATGAGCTCAGGAGGATCCAAGAGACCAGTAACATGATTATAAATTGGTTTATCAACAGCAATTCCACTCTTGAGTGCTTTAACTTGCTCATACATGAGATCAAAATCATTTGCTCTTGGGTCAAGTGCGGTGACTCCTTTTTCCTTCCTTCCAGTCCTATCAAGTGAGTGATAGTCATCCAAACAAATCACTGTAGTCATGTCACTGATAAGGGTGTTGGAATCTGGGTTACCGCCCTTTGGTGGCTCTGCTGCACCACCAAACACACTAGTTAGCCTCCTCATGAAAGTGCTTTTCCCACACCCTGAATCTGCTGCCAGACCAATCACAACCGTCTGTGAGTCACCGGCAGAGCATGTTATCACACAAGGACTCCCTGAGCTACTGCCCCCTCTTCTGCTACTTCTCTTGTAAAAAACCACTTGTTTTTGGTTAAAACCCAAGTGGGTTTTCATGGGTGTGGAGATTGAACATGTTGAGTTCAAGTGAGCTGTGTACACTGTGCAAATAGCCATTTTCTTTGCTCTTGTTCTTTTCCTTCCCCCTCTCTCAAAATAGGAGCTTCTTCACAAGTTTGTTGAGAGAGGAACAATAATCTGGATTATTAAAATGAGTGTATTTAATTTGGTTCGAATTTGACGGGTGACATAAATGAAAATTGGGATTTTAAGAGGAGAAGCTTGAGTCACAGATTAAGAAAAACAGATGGCAGTTTCTGAAACAGGTTTTTTTTGGCATAGATAGGTGATGTGTTTGCTGGTTCTGGGTTATGGGCTTTTGTGACTACCCCTTGTTTTGGACGATTTGGAGGTAAAGTTAAGGTGGGAAATCAAAAAGATGAGAAGGGCATATATGCCATTTCATATATATATATATAGAATTCAAGATATACAAATTAGTTTTATGGGAAAAAGAAAAGGAAAGATGGAATTGTTGATGAGGTGATGGCATTGTATGTGATGATAAACAGAGGGCATAGAGAAGCTAAAGTTTGGTGGTGAGTAATTGAAGTTTTGGATATTTGGAATGCCACGTGGCATCATGGGCATGGCTGGTTGAAGATGAGGAGTTTAGGGTGTGGAGTGGAGAAGAGATATGGAGAGCCTCAGCCATCTATTTCAAGTTTTGGACTTTACCTCCTCCTCCTCTTCCTCCTCTTTTTTATTTAAAAAAAAAAAAAGTAAAAATAATAATAATAATAAAAGAAATAATAGGGCAATCCCAGTTAAACAAAAACTAGTGTAATCCAATATTAAATCAAATAGTTATTAGTATTTATTTTATTATACCAATAGCCACAAAACAAGATAAATTCAATTGTATGCTCTTACTAAAACTACATAACCTTTTGAAAGGTAGTCACAAAGCATTACCAAATAATGGATGAGTCAATGGTTTACCTTTTTCTATCTTCTATTTTTCACATAACGCTTGTTATTTAGATCATAAATTATATAGTAAAACAATGATTTTAATTTAAAATTTATAAAATACATGCAGAAATATTATTAATAAATTCTAGATTGTAAAGGGATTTCAAAAAGTGTTAGACTTAAGAATTTATAAATAATATAAAAAAATCTCAACGTTAAATAATACATATCAAGCGCATTACACCTAATATTCTTTCAATTCTCGTCTTGGATTAAGAAGGTTTTATTTTAAGTTTGGAGATAATTGTTGTTCCATTTATTATGGTAATAAATTTAATTGTATTGATATTTTAAATACTAGTCTTTATTATTTAAATTTAGATAATAGTTTATATTACGTGGTTTAGAACAAATAAAAAAAACATATGTAAATCAAGCAGACTCTAATATATAGATCAAGGGATGTGAATGAAATTAAAATTAGCAAGTTATATAAATATAGAATTCTAAATTCTTTTGATTATGAATCATAGATAATATGTAAGTCTTGTCTCATGGGTAAAACATTTGATTATGTGGTCGCATGTCTCTACATTTTAGAGGTAGCTACTCATAATTCAAAATCCTTCAATGATGATTTCTAATGATGGACATTTGTCTGTAGTGAAGTATAAGCTTAGAGTTTTAAGAAGTTTAAAAGATACATGATAGAAGTAGAAAATTAATAAATAAATAAATTTGATCCAAATAAAGAAAAGGATTTTTTAAGTTAAGAATTTTTGCATTACTTGAAGAAGAATTGAATTTTTTTCATTTGGAATCCTCTAATAATATCACAATTATATATCATATCTGAAAGGATAAACTATTCCTTATTTAGATAAAGATGAGTTGCGCTGTGTTTAGACATGGTATGATCAATAAAATGAGTCATACTATATTTCTTTTTCATTTTGGGATTATATTTTCTCAATTGTTCATTTTATACTCAATATAAATTATAAATAAGATAACAGTAAAGATACTATATAAGATGTAATATGGTACTCACGGAGTCTTAAGAGAATTAAAACTTAGGGATGTTCTACTTATACAAAGATGATAGAGGCAAATAAATTAGAAACTATATTGAATATATGTTTATTAAGAAGATATTCGAAAGAGAATTTTGAGTATTATTTCTACATCCCACGAGTGTAAAAGGTATTTGTCTCAAAATATATCATTTTACTTGAAGAAAATTTTGCTCTAAAATAAATTAATGAGAGCAATATTGAACTTAATGAAGTTATGAAGCAAGCATCTAATCTAAAGAAGACCCATATGCCAACAAGGCTGAAGAACTACAAGAACCAAGGTCGCATAGATCACAATGAATACTTAAACCATATAAAGAGTAGTATGGTTTTCTCATGAATGATGATTAAGTAGGTTTGTGGATGGTGAGGATCTTGTGACCTAAAATGAGACGTTAATTGGTTTTGACTCAAATAAATTATAAGAGACAATGAACTAAAGAAGAATGCACATTTTGATGGTCTTTGTACCTTGGTTAATCCATTCGAATGAGTTATGGGTGCAAGTGGGTCTATAAAAGAAAATATGGAACAAGGAGAATGTGAAAAAGTACAAGGCAAGGTTGATAGCAAAATGTTATACGTTGTTATAATAATCTGACAATGAGGAAACTTCTTTACCACTAGTCATGTTAAAATTTATTTAGACTTAGCTTACAACTATAGTTTATAATGACTATAAAAATTGAAAATTTGATGCAAAGATAACTTTTTTCAATGGAAACATTGATAATAAGGTGTATATAGTACAACCAAAAGACTTATAAAGAAAGATATATAAGTGTTGGAAGCTCTAATAGTCTATTTATGGATTGAAACAAGCCTTTTGCAATGGAAAATTCATTTTGATGGAATAAAAGATATCAAGAATGAAGATTAATCTTGCATTTAAAAAAAGTTAGGGGTAGCAAGATAATGTTCCATGTACTTTATATAGATGAAGTCTTATCCATTGGGAATGGTATAGAGACATGATAGACAATAATGAATATATGAGATATAGAGATGTGCAGATATCACAAGATTTGCTATAAAGGATATATAACAAGAAGCAACTTATATATTGAGGATAAGCATCTATAGAGATAACTCAAAGAGGTTGTTTTGCTTACCCCCAATAAAGATTCATAAATATTATATTAAAGAGGTTTAGCATGGAGAGCACCAAAAAATGATAGTACGAGCATGTCGTAGAGTGAACCTCTCCAAAAAGATGACACCATGAACATCTGAAGGGAGTAAGTATATGAATGAAGTTCCTTTTGCTTTAGTCATAGTATATACTATATATTTTATATTATATATTAGGCTTTATGATGATCTCAATAAGAGCAACTGAAAGTCTTTAAAAATTATCTTTAGATACTTGTAAAGGAGTAAGAATATTTTTTTCATTTGTAAAAAGGTAAATGTCATGAAAGTTGATGGATACATGAACTTAAGTTGTAAGCAAAAAATTTGGTGGAATTAAAGATGATGTAAAATTTGCAATAAATAAAACAAGTAAAAAAATAAAAAGAAAACGAACTTGAAAAAGCTTCATCCTATTAAAGGTTAATTAAATTATCTAAACATTAACATCCTATTTGGAGAAATTTTAGTAATGAGTAATTAATGTATGATAATGACAATAATTGAATGATAATGATACAAGATGATAATGACAAAATTTTTTTATGTTTAAATGGTTGTATATTAATGTATGTTAATAACAGTTGTTTGTTTGAATGATAAAATTATATGATTGTATTTTTAATTAAATTCTTAATTTATCTATACCTATTATATGTAATAGTAAATGATATATAAGAAGTGTAACGCCCAATAAATTTAGAATTTTATTATTATTATTATTAATTTTATTTTTATTTATTTAAGTTAAAAATAAAAATAACAATAATTGTAAAATTGGGTAAAAATATTATTTGGATTTAATTGAAATTGATTTTGGGGAAAAGGGGTGAAAATTAGGATTCTGGGGGTATTTTTGAAAAGAAAATCGGAAACCGGGGGTCAAAACGTAATTTAGAAAAATTGCGCCCCGTCAACGCCACGTCAGCAGCCCAGTCAGCAGCCCTGGCCAACCAGGACCTGCCGCGTGGCAAGACCACGTCGACCCGGGAACGGGCCACGTGGGCGATTCGCGTGCGCGCGATCGGACGGCCCAGATGCGTCCCCACGCGCACAGACAGCCCAGATCAAGCGTGCGCACGGACGGCCCAGATGCAAGCGCACGGACGGCCCATATACACGCGCACGGACGGTCCAGATTCAATCAAGCACGGACGACTCAGATTTAATCAAAATGGACAGCTGTGATTAAAAGGCAAAAGGGTATAAATAAAACCTCCACACCTTACCACAAAAACCCTAGCCGCCTGCCCTCGCCAGAGAAGACGAATCAGACGCCGGAGGAGCCGGCCGCCGCCACCCGCCGCCGCACCGGGGAGTTTTTCGACCGGCGATCGAGGTAAATTTCATACCCCCAGCTCGTTTTTCAATGCTGAGTTCCCCTGTGGCCAAATCGGAGCCAAAATCCCGGCTAAACGACCGAAAATAACGGCCGAAACCCAGCGGTGGCGCCGCGTCCCTCCTCGATTTTTGCCTCCGATGAGGCCCTTCCCGGCCTCCATTTAATACAATTTTTATATCACCGTGATCACCATTCTTTTCTTTACAGGTTGATCGGAGCCAAATCACCAAAACACGAACCTCGCCGGAGAGCCGCCACAACCGAGAGCACCGCCGCCGGTAAGCTTCGATTTTTCGTAATTTTTTGGCCCCCCGAGGGCCCTAGGGTTGTTTTATCGCAGGGACTGATGCAAGTGTGGCCGAATTCGACCGAAAACGGCCAACCCGAGGCGAATCGCCGGAGTACGGCGGAGCCGCCGTGCCGGAATTGCGATATTGGTCGAAAGGGGTCCTAGGTCTAATTTGGAATTTTTGGGACATGTGCAGGTACCAGTAGTGCGTTTCAGTTCCCCGGAAAAAATTCAGGAAAAATTAGGGACAGCCTGTAGGTGCACTGTAGAGCCGTTTTCGGACCCCGAAACAAGTAAGGACCCCTCACCCTATTTCCTATCACGGTATTAAAGTTCAATAAATGATAAAACGGTATTTCATGAATCAATAGATGTGTGAAATTGTTTAAGGTCGCTAATGGAGCCCGAGTCTGGTGTATTTGTCGGTCAGTTGTTATTTGTTCTATTTTACAGTTTTAAATGCAGTATGATGTCTGATGTTCTCATTTCATAGTTTCATGTGCATATTTTACTGTTTTATTGATTATGGGTTGAATGACTGAGAACCCGATGTTGTATGTCGTCTTGTTTGGCATAAATTACTGGTTTGCTTGTTTGTGTGTGTGAATTGATGATGCTGACTGAGGAAAAGGGGAATGAAAGGTTATGTAAATTG